CCGGGGCCTGCGGTCAGGCGCGGAAGGTGCCCAAAGCTGCAGGCCCCGGGTGGAAGGTGATGGTGCCTCCCTCAGCACCCTCCGGCCGGCCGCTGCCCTGAGTTTGAGGAACCGCCGGAGTTGAGCCGCAGCCTTTTGCATGAAGTGGGAGCTGGGCTGAAGGTGAAACGCTGGTTACAAAACCTGGAGTGACGCACCTGTGTGTGTGTGAACGCCCACCTGCCTGGAGAGATTTCTCACACTGGGCCGTACCCGTGTTACACATCTGTGGCTGATGTCTCCTGCAGGAGTAGGTGCTGTTGGATCCGCTCCAAGGAATTTGCACTTACAGCTTGGAGAACAAAAGGAAGCAATTCTCTTCAGGTGGATGGTTTGTGAACAAACACAGGCTTTAGGTACACCCCAGGCCAACACATGCACGCCGCCTTATCTGGCCTTTGTTTGACAATTTGCAGTTGTCTTGCAAGCACATGAGTTTTACAACAAAACAAGTAAGTCCTACTCGGTTTAAAAAATGGAAGGAATATGTTGAGGCACAGCCAGTAGTTTCAGCGCAGTGTTTGGGCACGCTGCTCAGCTGGCGTCGGTGCTGACAGCTCCCTGTAGCACTGGGGTCCCCAGGGGATTGTTGGTGCAGATCCTGGTATTGGCACAGCTCTGTGGGTGTCAGCACCCCATTTTGCTGCTTTAAACCTTGACTAAGAATGCGTTTGCGCTACAGGCACACTTCTGGCCGCAGTGCAGCAGTGCCGCGGCACGGGTGGAGGCGAGTGCTTGTCCTAACCGCACACAGCCCAACGCTGGCACAAACACAGCGGAAACAACTCAAGTTAACGCTGCACTCTTGCTATAAACTCATCAGTCCCTACGAGTTTTTGCATCTTTGTGTTTAAAGGGGAAACTGTTTTTAGGGAGAACTGTCAACAATATGGTGTAGCGACTCAACAGAAAAACTGCTTCATAGGCACAACTCCTCGTTCCTCAGTCGCCTTCTGCAGTTAAGCGCTTCCAGGTGGTGCTGGAGTGCAGCTGAGAGGGGCTGTTGCTGCGTGCGGGCACTTGCTGTGCCTGGCTGGGCAGCGGGAGAGCTCGGTGTTGGTCTGCCTGCTGCGGCTCCCTTGCTGCTGCCGGCTCCTGGGCAGTGTTTTCCCTGGGCATGTCTCACTGCCCATGTCAACGTCAGATTGCTTCGTTGGTGGTCAGTTTTGTTAAGAAAACCAGGCTGGCCTCAGCAACATTTTTTCTGAGTATTTTGAGGAGCGTCCACACTTTACTGATGTGCTGCCACTTCCCTTGCAAGGTGCTGGTGCCCTCCTGCCTCTGGCCCTGGGATGTCACCCTTGGGGATGTCATACCAGCTGCGCTGGGAAGAAAACCCGAAACACCGATCAAGTGCTAGAATGAACGTCACCTATTCATTCACTGAGCTGAAGAGGAAACACATCACTCTTGGCTGTACCAACTGAGGTATTCCTTACCCTAATTTCAATTTCAGTCAGAAAAGATACTGGGTGTTGGTTTTTTTTTTTTTTTGCTGTGAGATATAAGAAAAATATGCTGTTCCTTCAGAAATGAATGTTGTGGAAAGCCCTAATGAAATAATGTGTGTTAAATTATCTACTGTGGGTCATAGGCAACATTGGAGTAATTTCATTAATCCTGCTATAATCAAAGACACGGTTCAGAGTTCTGTTTTACACAAAAAAGTTCTTATGTCCCAACTGTCAGTAAGAAAAATGGTCTTCCACTATAAATGTTGCTGAAATACGGGAAAATAAATCAATTCCTTCGGAATTCTTGCTTAACAAGTTCTGCTGGAAGCACAGGTGTTATTGCCTGTCAGAGCCAGAGCTTGACTTTGATCCTGCTTAAGCAGGAGTAAATTAGTTCACGCAGCTGATGCCACTGGAGTTTTGCTAGCACAGCGTAAATGAGATCAAATGTAGGATCTTTATAGGAACTGGATACAAAAAGGTTAGAGTAATTCCTTGGGAGGTTTTTTCCTGTGGTCACTTCCAAATTCTCAAGGCTGGAACAAGCTTCCTTTCGCTGATGCGATCCTTGTCCTTGTCTTGTGCACTTTTCTGGGGACTGCTGCCAAGCACTGAGTGATGATTGCATAGGACTCCCAAAGAGGGAGGGCTGCAGTTAGGACTGTCTTTTCTCCCTGTGTATGGTGTTTATTCACACCAAGCTTCATCTGTCACTTTACATGTAGTGTTCCACTATTGTGAGGCTTCCTACTGCTGAATAACTCAGTGCACTGTATCACCTCACAACTCATTGCCTCTTCCAAATGGCAAACATCTTAATATTCACCAAAGCCATATGTGGAGCTAATATTTTTCTTGAGTGATTCAGACAGAAGGCTTCTGTTAGCAGAGGGGGAGCGGTGGGCAGGTTCAGTTTCGGTGACAGACCATGATTTCAGTTTGCACGAGTCAGGCTGTCACTGTTGGCCCTGCGACTCAGGTCCCCACCTATTCTCCCGCCCTGCAAAGCGGCCCTCTCCGGCAGCAGGCTGCGGGGCAAGATCTGCTGCTCGCCTGGCTGAGCTAGCCGTGCCGTGCCGATCCAGCAAGGCAGAGCGTGCAAAGCAACTGGGAAGCAGCAGCCACTGCCACACACGCACACACACACACACGTAAGCACAGCATGCTGTGCAGGGTGGTTTTTGCAAAATATTTATTACAAAATAAAAGTAAATATGGCAACAAAACTTAAATAGCAAATGACGTGACACTGGCCATAAAGCTCTTGCTATATTATTAGTCTTTTACAATAATCCATAGTCAAGTATGTCTCTGAGGGAAGCTGCATGTGGACAGCTTGAATATATTTCTGTATCGTTGGCTCTAGCTGTTTGAGATACATTAGCTGTGTGCCTCCCGCTTTCACCACGTTCCGGCTGTGAGCGGCTGTGCCGTGTGCTGGGCTTGCTCATCCCCCTAAAACGGACAGCAGCTGGCAATTCCCAGGCTCCCTGAAACCTGCCATGCTTCACCCCAGCCCCTCCTCCCCTTTCTTCTTTTAAAATCACAGCAAATGATCCGATGCCCATCCCTTTTTAAATAAGGTAGCAGGAAATGGATTAGCAACACTGAAGTACCTATTGTTCCCCTTTGAGCCACAATCTCTCTTGTGAGAGCTTGCTTGAATTTCTTTCCTTTCCCACCTGCTGAAAACTGTGAAAGCTCACCGGTGAGAGCACCAGT